CAGATCCCACGCCTTCTACGACCTACCTCCGAATATTTTTACAAAAATGCGAACGCTTCAATGAGGCAGCAACAGAAGATTCCTCCGGTGTCGCGAAACGAGGTCGCTGGGAACGGAAACAGTTTCAGGCGGTGGAAGAAGTTTTCCGGCGCGACAAAAAAGTGGATGAGGAGAGAGAGGGGGGAAAGGGAATGCTTAGAAAATCGAAAAAGAAAAAGAGAGGGATAACTTAATAGTTTTATTTTAATGTTAACGTTAATGCTTTATTTATTTGCTCTGAAAAAAAGGGAATCAAATATTGACTAATTATTCGTTTCCCTTAAAATATATTAATAAAATCCATTAAATAAACTCAGACGCGAAACGTGAGCACGAAGCGGTAGTTGGAAAGTTGGTTCAACTAAAAATTTTGGCGTCCAAAACGCGCTTCTCAATCTGCGTTTTGGAGGAAATACATGCATTGGCAATGAAACGCAATGCCGTTATAATTCGCAGCATTTATTGGCGGGTATAGAAATTGAAGAACCGGTAATTACCAGCGTAAGCATGAAGCGCAGGAAATGGCAGTATCACGTGCGATGCAACAGCGTTTGGTTTTATACAAGATAGGTTCTAAACCCGAATGGACTATTTTCACCCGCTGAGTTTAGTCTCGCTAAACCAAGACTGAAGGGTATATTTTGGAAATTTTTTGCGAGAAAAAACCGCCGCCAAGCCCAACCCCTACGTGACTCGAGCTTAAAATTACACATTAAATTAAATTAATTCTTATATGTTAATTAATGTAATCAGTAGCATAAGTCTTATTTATTTAAATAATAATATTTAAAAATTTTACTTTCCTAATTTTTTTTTTCTATTTTGAGTATTGTCTTTACTGCACACTTAACACATATTCACTAGTTTCATATTTGTAACATGTAATATTAGTTATAGTAGTTTTAAACTGTCTCAATTTTAAAAAATTTGTAATTAATTTAGCTTTAGCATTGAGTGGGACTTTGAATCTAATTTCAATTATTTATACTTTTGACAATATATTGTCACATATTAAAAGTTTTATAAATTCAATTTTAACAATTTCTACTTAATTCTAATGATTTAAAAATTTCATATTGTTAAAAGCTTCATTATTTTGGAAAGTAAGTTTTATAGCAAATTGCATCTACCAAAACAATGAAAAGAAAAATTTATTATAAATTACACAAAATATATATCACTTCATCTCTTCTCTTTTTTTTCTTTCTGCATGTGAAACTAGTTCGTAGTAAATATCTATTAATATCTTTTATTATCTTTTAATTAAGACAATTTTGTTCAACGAAATAATATTATTGTAAGTCGTAAATTTTTCTTTTTCAGTATTTAACGTAAATGTATTCAATAAAACAAAATCATATGTTAAGTTATAACAATCTCGTTAATTAATTCACTTATTCAATAGTATACATTGTAATTGATAGATTATGTAAAAATATTTATATTAGTAGTAAATTAAATATTATATGAACAAATTTAATGAAATTAAATATTATATTAATTAAGAAATTAATTCACGTTTATTTAATATAATTTTAATACATTGTTCAGTAATCATATAATAATTAATTATATGTATACATATAATTACGTTAATATTAATATGTATAGTGTCAAAAATTGTACACGATCAGTATATTTTAATTAATTTTTTATTTTAAACAATAAATATTAGATGAATAAATTTATTATTAAGTAGATATTGCATTGATTAAAAATTAACTTACATTTATTTAATATAATTTTAAAACATTCTTCGGTAATCATATAATAACGAATATATATATATATATATATATATATATATATATATATATAATTAGGCTAATATAATTTGATTATAATATATTTAAAAATAGAGTATTAAAATTTATTAAAATAAATAAATTACTTATTGAAACGATACAAAATTTATCTCACAAAATTATTTTATTTACAAAGTTTTAATATATAATAAATTTGGCTTATTATTTTAAGAATAATTTAATTTATTTATGTATTTTCTTGAAAAATATTTAATTATGAACATTTTCTTAATGCTTTAAATAATAATATAAAATAATTAAATCTATAAATCATACAAAAAAATTATAAATAATATTTATTATATTATTTTAAATTCACACACATGTGTGTGTATATATATATATAACAAATTTAACTCTTCTTTATAAGAATGAGAAGCTTTTTTAAAATAATTTGATAAAAATATTCATTTTAATTTTTTAAAAATAGAAAATAATGAGAATTTTGTATAAATATTTAATATTAATTTATATTCAACCGAAATTATTTTAACTTAGTTTGTGATCTTGAGTTCAAATACAAGTGAATCAATGAATATAAATGTGTTAAATATTTAGAGGAAGAGTTTTGCTACCTATACTAATCATACTTAACTCAAACAAGATTACCTTTGGGGAAGATACATGTGGTCTAACAAAAAAAAATATCATTTATATTAATTCATTAAAAATAAAAAGTAATTATTTCTAAAATTGTATATATTATATTTAAACGATCAATATTTCACTTTTTATAAAAATTATTATAATAATCATAATTATAATAAATAAAAGTAATTACAATATATTTCCTAGGTTTGTATTATATGTATACATATTTTCTTTTAAAGATGATGTTGTAATCATGAATTATGACATCTTTGTGTTGTGTATGCTTGAATTATATGGATTTTTATATGTTAGAGTATTAATACAAAAGTTGTATGATTGTTGAATAAAGAGTCATTTATTTGCAGTGTTGTGTGATAATTTTGTTGAATATGATTAGTAGAGTGGGTTGTGATCAATCATTAAGTGTATTATCTATGTAATAACTTAAGAATTGTAGTCAAGGACATGTATTGCCTTATTTGAGAGTTCTGGGTGCAGAATGTCTCGCTCAAGTGAGATTGAGTCATGCTAAATTGCGCATTTTGAAGTGTTCTCGCTAAAGTAAGACACGATAAGACTTACTCAATTGTCTTCTTACCCTGGCAAGAAGCGACCTCGCTCAGGCAAGAGAAACTTGCTCAAGCGAAGAGTCATAGGAAAAATGAGTAGCTTTCTAAATTCAATCTCACTCAGGCAAGTACGTAGCTCACTTAGGGATTATGTAGCTCGCTCAGACGAGATGTCTCTCGCTCAAGCGAGAATAGCAGAAATTTAGGTAGTTACATAATTTGGTTTTCTCGCTCAAACGAGGATAAGCTCGCCTAGGTGAGAGCAGGGCTCACTTAAGCGAGAGTTGGCTTGCTCAAGCGAGAGCGCGCAGACCTATAGAGATATTTAAGGAACCCAGTGTAGAACAAATGTGTCACATGGCTTTACACTTATTTCTTGATTCAACTCCTGACTATACCTTTGCCAAAGAGCCTGTTATTCTATACATTGTATTTATATACATGGGTTAACCGACAACTATTTACCTAATTAAGTAAGACCTCAAGAAATGTTGGAGGCGTTGTTGTTTGTGATCACAGTGCACTGAGAATGCGTGTTTGAAAGAGATAAATAAAACGATTTATGACAAACTTATGTGTCGTGACTATATAATTATTTTTGCTTTGTGAATTAGTCGTAGAATAATTATGTTTTTCTCTTATGTTGTAACCATAATTTTCTGTAAGATAGTTTGTAAATGGTAGAATAGATGTTCATCTTTACTAAAATTTTCAAGGAAGCAAGATGACGACATCCCAGGAAAGAATTAGATTGATAGATAGTTTTGTATAGTGTAAACTTAATTATATATTTAATTAGTACTAGAGGACTTGTTATTTTAAGCTAGTCGTAGATTGCGAGGGTGTATCCAGTCATATCTGTATTTTTGAAATGAAATTATATTGTAGTGTCCTTTTTAATTTTCTTTTAAATAATAGAATTCATCATATCTTGTGTATATATATCTATAGAGGTACAATTAGGATCCCACCAACTATAACTTATTTATGCACTTACCATGACCACGATAATCTCAAAAGACAGACCCAAATTACTCTGGAGCGGGTCCTAGGTGTTGAGGTCACAACTGACTCTGGTGATCTCTATTTTGGAAATGATGAGGATCTAGATTCCGAAGATCTAGCAGAGATTGAGAGATGACATGAGGATGACTAGTGCTTAGTCCTCAGTACTTTGGCTTTGGGTTATGACTGCTCTCGAACTTGGTTTACTTTGATTATATAATTATTATTTTAAGTCCCACATATTTTGATGAACAGTTTGTAAATTATTATTATACCCATTACATATAAATGCAAGTTTGATATCCATATTTTACAAATGTTTCCAATATACCATAATATTTAAATTTACAGTTTACCTTATTTAATATCATTGTACTAGTAAACTTGATAAATAATTTTATTCATAAAAAGACTTTAATTTACTCGTATTTATATTACCTGTCATACACCAAAAATTTACATTTTCTGATTTTGTACAAATAAATCAAGCAGGTTAAGACTAAAAATTTTAAGATTTTACATTTTACATTTTTAATATTATAATATTAATTCATAATTATTTTTAATATTTGATATTTTACATCATTATAATATTTTAAATTTTTAATAATGTTATTTCATTTTTATCATTTTAATTTACTAGATATTACACACACTTATTCATACACACACAAGCATATGAAAATGATTGAAGAGATAAATGACATATTTTTTGTTTTTATTTCTACATTTTAAATTAAAAATTTTAAAAAATGTACTTAAGGTTTTATTCATATTTTTATAAAATAAAATATTATAAAATATTTAAAGAAATAATCACTTGATAAGTTTATATATATATATATATATATATATATATAAAAGTAAGATCATTTCGCATTAGTATAAGTTTAAAAACTCTTACATTCAATCTGAACTTTTCATTTAACTTACATCTAACGAGTTTTTATTAATTGCAAATGATAAATTTAGTAATAGCCCTAAGGAGACTCCTATGCAATTGTGCAACTTTTTATTAAAAAAGAAAATGAATTCACACTAGAAATACATGACAACAAAGGTGATACATGTGTTTCTTTTTTTATGCCACACAAACTCAAACGTACCAAGAAATTTACAAAGAATTAGGTAATACACAAGGTAATACAAGCATATTGAAGCCTAAAACATTACAAAGAAGCCATCCTAACCAAACACATAGAAGCTGATTCCTAACAAACCCCGAAAGCCTTATAAACCACTTGAACTAGGCATTGAAAATTTTCAAAATCCGTTCAACTCTGTCGTGATTCTATTTAGAGTGTAGGTGGCCTTACCAAGCTCGTTCCTTTTAAACTCAAAATAAAAAGGATCTACCTCTTCAATCTACATGCTAATAACAAGTCATTTGGTAATTTTGGAAGAGCTAATAAAGAGATTTCTCTGCTTTTCGGATTTGTTAGAAAAGTAATGAATAAGGCAAATTTTCTTTTGACTAGTCATTCTGTTTAGTCGTCACCTTCCTCTGGTTTCACAAAGAATTCAATGTGAGCTATTCGACCTTGCTGCTGATAGCCAACAGAATCGACATATGGGTGCGATACAGATGGTTTGGCAATTGACACCAGATGCTGAACTTTTAACATTCCACCTCTACCAATGCTTAATTTACTTCCTCTATTTTCTTTAATAACACTGTTAGGCATATTAGAAGTAGTTGCTCTGAGGAACTTATATTTGTACCTGTTAACAAAATCCAAGGAAATGACAGATAAATTTAATGCCAGGGAAATGCCAATATTAACATGTAAATAATAGTTTTTAAATGAAAAAAACTTAATACTTGAAAGAAGTGTGATGATCACACTGAAATGCTACCAAGAGATCGGAATTCACATAATACATGAAGTCTATCTGAAAAAAAAAATGTGAACATAATCAATTCAAATTTCAAATCAACAAACAGCATGTGATCATTTATAAGTTGAAAATAGTACAAACCTGCAAGTCTCCATGTCCTTCAGCTCTCAATGTGACAGAAGGAGGATCAGGCTCTAGAGTAATCTGGATGCTTGATCCAGGCCATTCAAGATCCTCAATAGCTTCCTTTAGTGATGCAGACTAGGTGTAGATTAATAATCAAATTGTCAGTTAACATTACCAAAAAAGCAATGTTTGTTGTTTTCACGAGAATCAATTTTAGGAAAATGTGTATATCCATAGAATGTATATTTAGAATCAATAAAAGCACAAAACCTAACTTATCATTTAAAAGGGTTCATTGACATCCAAGTTATTTGAATGCAAATTGGAGATTTCATAAATAACAAATTTTATTTTATGAATGTAGTGTAAAAAAACGAAGGAACTTTGAAGGATAATAAGTGATTCAAGCAGCATTTGAATTTGATATGAGAAAATTATGGCATACCTTAACAGTAAAGGTTAAAGGGTTTGTCCCAGCAGGTTCAAAATTGTAGTCCCATGCAACTGTATCTGGAATCCTTGTCCTGATCTCTGCACAAACACTGGCATCCAGCGAATCTACAGATCTAACGAAGTGGAGAGAGTGCATTTAAGACACAAACAAGACAGTTATACAAAATTGTTTCATTGTAGACGGACTCAAATAAGCATTCAGTGTAAAAGAAAGGCATGGTGAGAATCACATACTTGAGAAGAACCTGCATGTCAGGACCTGGATATTGAATCTGAATTACGCTTGATTGACCAGGAACCGAGAAGGCGTTCAAGCAGTCCACGAAAAGCCCCAAACTCACTCCAAAACGAGGTCGTCCTCGAGCCTTGTAATCGTAGCGAATGAATAGCTGCAAATAGCACAGTTTCCTAAACTAAGAAACAAATCCAGAAATAAAATAAATAAATAAATAAATAATAATGAAATTAAGGAAATGGGTACCTCTCGTTTGAGATAAACCTTGGCTTGGAGGCAACCGCTTTCTTCGACGATCAAAACGATGCCGTGTTCAGACAACTCCAACACAGCGTCCTAGGTAGTTTACTAGTTAGTTACTGGTTAGTTAGGTTGTGAAAGATGAAAGAGCATGCATGAGGGGATTATCACCTGGTGGCGCTTCCAACGAACGGCGGTGAGGGCGTCGACTAGGCCTTGAACGTTTTCCATTTCGCATAAAACGTCTGGGGCTTCTTCTTCCCTGCCTGAATCACTCATTCTTCCCTCTCTACTGCCGAGACAAACTTAGAACGCTATGCCCACCCCTCCAATGGAGCACCAATGGCCTCTGCTCTGGCTACCAAAGCAACATAGCCAGAGAAGCTCTGACTATTTTTATTTACTTTTCTTTTATAAATTATAATATTGTTGTGTATTAAATTATATATTGAATATTAAAATTAATATATTTGTTATTCAGTCATCAATCTTATATTATTGATTTTTTTATTATGCTGCTCTCTTTCTTTAGTTATCAATCTATTGTATGATAAATTAACTTTCATTGTATTTAAACGATTTTTCCTGATTTTATAATATTTTCATTATTTACTTTTTTATATTCATTACAATAAAATTGGTACATTAACCTAAAAAGCTCAAACTAAATATTACAAGTAATAATATACTACTATCAATTTAATATATAATATTTCTATTTCATTGAATGTTATAATAATATCAGAAACACTATATGTCTATAACAACCATAAATAATAAATAAGATAATATTACGATCATAAAATAAAATAATAGTGATAAAATTTAAAAAATATATAAATATACCGTATAAAGTCAATAATCATTTTATTAAAATATTAAACTAAATTAAATAATATCATAAAAGTTAAAAAATAGTAAAAATGAACAATTTTATATAAAGAAAATTTTCGTTTATGAATTGGAAATTGGAAGTATGAATCTGAGTATGAATATTTGAGGATCTTTATGTTAATTTAAATTTTTTAACAGTGATGAAAATGAGAATAGTTAATAGTTGTGATGTTAACTTATTTTATACATTAATGTTGTTTTTACTATTTACTTTTTAGAATTTTTAGTTTGTTTTTAATATTTGTTAGTTTTTGCGCTGGTGTTTTTCTATTTTTAATGTTAATTTTATTAGTTTATTATGATATATGCTATGTTAATTTTTAAGTATGATTTCCTTAATTTCTGTTTTTATAAGCGCTTTTCAAAACAAACGCGTTAATTTGTAGAAACACTTTTTAAAGTTTGCATTCAAAGGTTAAGAAGTCTGTTTATCAAAACATGAAATCTGTTTATCGAAGAGCCTGATCTGTTTAAAGACAAATTTGTATTCGCCGCCGTGCAGAGCCTGATCTCCGGCGACGCGCACCCACGCTTCTCCTCATCAGATGCGACAGGTATTGGAAGCAATGCTTAAAGAATTAAAACTGATACGTGAACTTGATGATTACTGTTCCTGCATAGGTTGGAGTATAAAATTGTATTTAGATCTTAAGTGTGTGTGTTTGGTTTAACTGGTTCAACTAGTGACTCATTGCTCCGCTCTTCTTCCGCTCCACTTCTCTTCCAAGGCTTCTATTGGTTCAACTGGTTTATTATCTTGTCTTATTGTAATCTCTATTTTGTTGGTTTAAATAACTCTGTCCATTCATTCTTTTATCTGCTGCTGCTCTGATTTCTTATAAATCAGATTATGGTTAAATTTTTTATAACTAAAAAAAATGATTAAATGCTATCCAAAATCCCAAAATTAAGGAGAATAGTTTTCTACATGTGTTGTATGAAATGGAATGCATTTATTTTGGATTTTCTGTCTTATAAGTCAATTTCATTTTCTGTCTTTCTAAAAGTTAAAGTTCTTTCTGTGTATGGATTTTGGATACCATCAGAATGACGGAGCAGTTTTGGAAGTTTATTTGCAAGAAACACTTAACAGATTAATAGGTCTCAAGCCCATTTACCCATTGAAAACAACCTAATTGTTTAAATTCTATCTTTTCTGTTATTTCATATTTTATTTGGTGTTATTTACTCTGTTTTTTCATATCCACCCTGTCTTCGTTTTTTCATGACTCTGCTTTTAATTTTGTGTATTTTGCTGTTATCTGCTTCTTACCTACATTGAAAAGACAAGGGAGCCCATGAAATTGGTTGTGTTTGCACTTAGAATGATGTTTTTTTGTTATAGATGAGTTTATGTAACTCTAGATTGTTTATAGAAATTATGTTACTGCACTGATATTAAATTGCCTCTGAAATATTTGGTTATATCTTGCATATTAAGTTCGTATTTAAAGCACTTAGTAAAAATGCAAGGTATGTCAACCAGCTTATTAAGTTCATGTTTAAGTGGTTTCTTTTGGTAGTGTCGCTTTATGAATGATGGATTGGTTTCATAGATTTCTCATTGTTGCTTCTTGAGGGAGTGTAGATATTGCTTTGGCTTGCTCATCTACGTGAAAGGAAGCAAGAAATTAGAAGTGTAAATTTTTTTAATCAAGGTAGATGTTGCTGTGCATGATTGATGGTTAGGAATGAAATTAAATTTGACTTGAAAATTTGCAATTGTTGAAATTTTTTGGCCTGTAAGGCTGCCCTAATCCTAACCCTGGCTCAATGGGCTTCTGATTTATTAAGCCTTTTAGTCCTAACCCATATGGGCTAGGGTTAGGGTTGGGTCAGCTGGGCTTTTTGACAACTCTATTTTTACGTATACTTTCCTAATTGGAGGATTTTTACTAACATAGTGCTTTTTGTCTGATTGCATTTGGTTGTCTTACTATGGATTGTTTGCATTTGTCTCATGCTCATCTGTGGAACAATTGTTCAATTTATTTGAAGCCTGTTGTTGCACTTGTATCATGCTTATTTGAAGCTCTGTTAGGAACAATTTATTGATGTTTGATTTCAAGTGGCGGACCAGTGGTAGGTAGTTAATAAGTTGCATAAACTGTCCTGGTCTAAGTGGTAATAATGTTGATTTTTATGGTCCATTAAGAAAGGATTTAAGGACTATCTTAAATGAGAATCAACAAAACAAACAGCAGAAAAATACACAAATCAAAAATCAGATAAGAAAGATTCACCTCCTCTCCAAATCTGCATCTAATTGAACTGATGCAATGCAATGCTCAACTTTTTAGTAAGTATAATAAATAGGTTGTTATTATATGAATTATTAACCTGATTAGTAATTAGCATAATTGATTTGTTCAGAACCCTTCCTCTGGAGGGATATCAAAGGGGGCTAGTTTTCCTTTGTCAGACCTTCCAATTGCATTTGAGATTGACCTAAATTTGTTTGTTTTTGTGTTCCTTGTATATAGCATGAAAGACTGATTTGATTTATCTGCCCTCATTGCATGCTCAGAGTTCTTAGTGGTTTTCAGAATGTAAATGATGCTGTGTTTTCATAGTTCAACAGCCTTGGAGACATCAATTTTTTTTTAAAATTGAAGAATATTAGTATGGTTTTTACCCTTGATTAGTTGCCATATAAGATGAAGATGAATTAAGAACTAAAAAAAAAAAATGGATTTAGTGATTCTTTAATAACTCAGCTGATGGGTGACTGATCTTTCACTGCTTCAAAACTTTTTTTTTTTCCAGTTTCATCATGGCAAAGTGGCGATTTATTAAACTTTGCACGTATCTGTTAGTGTGGAGTTCATTCATATGGTCACCTGGAAGATGCTTGCTTGGTGATTCAGTTTCAAGTCAGGTTGGTAAAGTAATTGTTTGTAGATAATTCTGCTCCATCTTTGATAAGAACCAAGGTATTCAATTACAAGTAAAATGGGACTAAACCCCAATTACAGAGATCAGGGATTTGAACCATTGGAGCATTACAATCATATTCACCAAAAAAGAAGAACAAAGATTGAATTCCTTATTGAATGACTGCTTGAATTCCTTCCCTCTCTCTCTTTAATTATATCCCTCTTGTAGGTTTCACACCTCACACCTTCCTCACTCCTATTGATCATCTGCAAGGTGGTTACTGTTAAATACATGTAATTATAGTAATAAAGATAGTTTATCTTTGTAATTATGATAATAAGGTAATTGAATATTCTGTAACAACTCTCGTATTTATGATTATCAATATAAATATATGCTTCATTATGCAATTGAAACACATGAAATTCATCTAATGCCTCTTGTTTTTTCTCATCACTCTTAACATGATATCAAGAGCTTGACAAGAGGCAACACTAATCTGTGACTACCTAGTGGGCCATCTGGCCATTGGTGCAATTTTTTCCTAATCCCATTTTAGGACCCATACTTTCAGGATGACCTTCCTTTTCGGCCAGTCTTTTCTCGTTCTTCACTACTCTTCATCGTTGAATGGACCATTTTTTAGCTACTTTTTTAGCAAACCAACTCAAGATCAGAAGTGGCACCCCAAGATTGGCTCACCCTTGAAGTTTCACTATAACTGGAGCCCACACGCCGCCCAACATTTCTGATCCCTGTCTCTCTCTCTGCACTGTGTCTCATGGCATGTGGCGACACATTGGGTGAACTTTCTGGCCAGTATTGACACAAAAATAAATATTCACCTTGACCTTCTCCACCCAGATTTGTCCTTGCTTGCTCATTTTGGGTTGCATGTTGCCCTATTTTCAGTCTTCTCAGGGATGTTTGGTACAATTTACCACTATCTCTCCTCTGTACTGACCCATAGCTAACCTTACCCCTCCAAAGGTGAAAACTCAATTTTAGCAATTATGTCACCACCTCACTCTCTATGGATAAGTTGGATAGGATCAACTATGTCACTTTAGACATCAATTTTGGCTTAAGGGTCAAAGTTATGTTGACGATCTTGTTACAAAGGAAGAGTACATTGCTGTCACTGGGTACCAAACTGATAAGAATTAGGTATCTTATTAAGAAGAATTAGGGATGAACCCCAATTACAAACACACACTGCAAAACTTCAAGGGTTTGCACCTCCCAATGCCATAAAGGCTCTAATTTCCTTTCACAAATCACCTTCTGTCCCTCTTATTTATAGGCAACATGCCTTATTCAAACTAACTCACGTAACTAACCAACTAATGGGTAACTAACTAACTTATTTTAACTAACTACTAATGGGGGTTAACTAAGTAATCTACTTTGACAAATTATTAATGGGGGTTACCTAACTAAAACCTTTGGGCACTCTTATAGATTCGAATTCCAAACTTCTATCAAATCAGGAGGAGCTTCTCTCTAATTCAGAGAAGTATAGAAGACTAATTGGGAAGTATAGGAGTTCCTTAACTCCATTGTGAAAGGCATTGGAATGCAGTATTTTGCATTGTGAAATATATCAATGGAGCATTGGGAAAATAACTCTTGTATGAAGACAAAGGTTACACTAGAATTATGAGTTACTTTAATGAAAATTGGGCAAACACTTCTATTGATAGGAGATCCACTTTAGGGTGCTACGTTTTTATTGGAGATAATTTGATTTCCTGAGAAAATAAGAAGCAAAATATGGTTGCTTGGATATCGATTATAGTTTCGTGCACATGTGAACTCATTTGATTGAAACAGATGCTTAAAGAATTGGAAATTGGAAAGTTATGCCAATTACACTTATTTGTAATAATTAGGTAGCCCTACATATTATCTCAAATCCAGTATATGTGGCAAGCTTAAGAGGTTCTTATATTAGTTATATATGTGATAAGGTGCATATGGTTTATATGCTCCACCTTGAGTGTTAAATACATGTAATTATGTGTAATTATAAAAATAGTGAAAGTTTATTTTTGTAATTATGAAAATTAAGTGTTGGAGTTAATGCAATTTTGGGAGTGTATTTATAATGATTTGTATTGAATATGTAATATGCAATTTAGTTATAATTTAGAAAATCCCACAAATCAAGGGATTGTAGTTTTAATAAGATAGATATTTTATTCCCTAATTAGTATTAGAAACCATATATTTTACCTAATTGATAAGTGAAATAATCAATTCAAATCCTAAAAATCCTAGATTAGGTAACCGAATATTCTATAATTACTCTTGTATTATGATTACCAATATAAATATACTTTGTTGTGTAGTTGAAACTTATGGATTCATCTAATGCCTCTTTTTTCTTTCATTGCTCTCAATAGTTACAACTTTAGTTCTCATCTTGTCCCCTTAGTCACCTCATCCTTGTTTCCATAGAGTCATGTATATTTTGGCTTTAGGTTATGAATCATCATGCAAGGCTGTGTAGTTTATTGGTATCAGGCCATGCATCATTAAACGCAATTGTTCATCTGGTTGTACATACTTTGCCATCAGGCTATGCTCCTTCCAGGTGCCAGCATCGGCATGCATACCTTTTTGGCATGCTTCATTAGCCCATTCGTGCTTCAGACTGTGCGTACCTCTATTTTTTTTTCCCAATCATGAGTTTTATTGTTGAGATCTGCCTCAAAATCATTTGTTATTTTGCTCCTTCTTTCAGAGCTATTAATTTTGCATCCAAGCCATAAATTTAGTGAGATCAAGCCATATCGATCATAATCATGACATAATTCCCCCAAAAACTCACAAGATAAACAGGAAGAATTGAGTTTATCAAGCAAGTTCCCAGTTCCTTGAAAACCTTATCTGCACCACTCATTCGCTAGCGTCTCATCCCTAAGTGTCATCTTGGTTACGGTTTGAAGCAAGGGCATTTTACCAGCAAATACTAATGTAGTTTAGTCCCAGTCACTGTCATCTATTGTGCCATATGTCCATACCATTGATGTTTATTAGGATTCTATCAATTCACTTCTTTATCCCCACAGCAGATGCCGCAACACTGGTGTATGATAAGAACCTCTGTCATTATAGTTGAAATGACTTCCTCCAAAATGACCATATTACCAGCACCATAGTAATGCACAGTTCATGCAGATTATTGATTGTTCCATAATATGTCACAGAGAATCTAGTCTTTGGGAAGATTGAAAAGACATTGCACTCATGATTGGTGGCCGTGGTAACAGAAAAACAGCATCACGGGAAGAGAACATGAAGCAAGCATCATGAAGCATGCATACTTTTGTAAGTAATTGACACATTCAATGCATCTAACATTTCCATTTGACACATTCCCTTCCCCTTTCATTCTGTGATTCCTGAATATTCATTTCCTCCACTCCCATCTGGTTTGTTACACCAATTCCCTCTGTCAATACTTGACCCTCTTACACGACTTGTTAGAACCGTGGCAGAGGAATATATGATTGATATCAATAAGAGAATATAAGTGTGGAAGGTTTATTTAAGGAAGAAGGGTGGAAAAGAGGTAGCTGCAGACAAAAGATAAGGATAAGACTTAGCTAATGTTAGTTAGTTTGTTAGTATTGATAATGCAGTTAGTTTGTTCATATTGCTAGTTGTTAAAATAGATTCTATAAATAGAGTTTTTTTACAGGGGTATTATTGATTTTGTTGGTTGTTTTGGGGAGAATTTCATTCTCTATTCAGGAGCTGTCAGCTTTGGGGGATTCTTTTGTAATCCTAGTTCTTTCTAGTGATCAATAAAACCATCTTTTTCTTCAATCCTTACCTTGATTTTATCTTTGAACCTTAACAATTGGTCTGACCTGTCGGATTCATTCCCTATATCAACAAGGATGAACGAGAGAGTAGAGGATCTTGAATCTAAGATTTAGAATATTGAAGCTTTGCAAAAGGCACTTTTGGATTATGAGGGAGATGTACGTCATGTAACAAGAATTATTGAGAGAGATACAGAAGATGAGCACTGCTAGGGTGACGGAAAACCAGCTGCACGAGGAGTTGCGTGGAGAGGGGACTAGACACGTGAATGATGAAAATATAGGGGACCCACTGCAAAGAAGTTATTTAATTCTTTGAGGGAAGCTTTGGTGATAGATTCTGTTTTTACATTTGCTAATTTGGAGGAGGTTTGAGATTGAATGTAATATCTCTGTTAGCAGTCTTAGCACTGTTTTTATGCAGCAAGGTAGACCAACAATGTATTTTAACAAGACCTTGTCTGAGGGGTACTTGGCTAAATCAATATATGAGAAAGAATTGATAGCTATGATTCTTGTCATCCTACATTGGAAGCATTATCTCTTGGAAAGGAAGTTTTTGGTCTACACGGATCAATGCAATTTGAGACAATTGCTGCAATAGAGAGTGATTTATGTGGTTGTTGACCAGCAATGCTGGATACCAAAGCTGTTAGGCTTTTAGTTTGAGGTGATTTACAGAATTGGTTGTACCAATAAGGCTTCCGATGCCTTGTCTTGAAAAGGAGACACAGAGTTTGGCAACTTCAATTTCTTTTCCTTAGTGGCAGCAACTTGCTGTTATACAAAAGGAAGTCATGAGGTTTCTTTCTTGCAAGAAATTATTCAGGAACCAAATTCCAGACCTGGGTATTCCTTCAAGGGAGGAATCCTATACTATCATGGCAGATTTATACTCTTTGTGACTTTTTCTATAATTCCAAATTTATTGCAACTCTTCCAATACAAGAGGGCATTTTGGTTTGTTAAGAACTTATTAGCATTTGGCTGGAAATGTCTATTGGATTGGTATGAAGAAGAGGGTCAAGGAGTTTGTATAGATTTGTGACACTTGCCAAAGAAATAAGTATGACGTAGCTTCCCCTGCTGGAATCTTGCAACCTATACCAATTCTCTCTCTTATCTTGGCTTGTTAGTTAGTTTGTTAGTATTGATAATGCAATTAGTTTGTTCATATTGCTAGCTGTTAAGACAGATTCTATAAATAGAGTTAGTTTTTTTATGAGGGTATTATTGATTTTGTTAGTTGTTTTGGGGAGTATTTCATTATCTATTTAGGAGCTGTTAGCTTTGGGGGATTCTTCTGTAATCCTTTTTCTTTCTAGTGATCAATAAAACCATCTTTTTCTTCAATCCTTAACTTGATTTTATCTCTGAACCCTAACATGACTCTAATACAGTTTCCAACAGCAAATATGAAATAGAACAAAGAAAAGAGGAAGAGAATAATTGTGATTCTGTATTCATTGCAAGAAAGAACATATGGAAAGGAGAAAGACTCCTTACTGTCTAGAGCAGTGCTCCTAATAGAAAAACAAATATGTTTCTTCTACCCAAATGCAACAAAAACAGAATGATCACCCCTGATCACTCATGATTCCTATATAACAGAAATATCTCTTATTTTCTCTTTCTCTCTCCTCTAACTGCCTTCCCCAAATCTCTCATGCCATGTCAGCTCCTCTTCTCTTCCTTCGTGAATACACCAACAGCTGCTTGGGATTGGATTTCCCTACATGGGCCAAAGGCTCAACTGACGCACTTAGGAATGGGGCCTTATCAGACTCGTTCCAAGTAATTGCTGTTTTGGCTTATTAATTGCTCATACATCAACATAACTGAGAGAGATCTATCAATTTTCAATTCTACTATTCTCTTATCCTAAAAATAGTAACAGTGATGAATTTCATCTCATTGTGCAATTATAGTGCAACTGCAATACACCAAAATAATAAAAATAGAAAAAGAAACAGAAGAACAAAATGCTGTTTCTAAAAATATATTTTTTTGTTAAATGATTGATGGGTATACTTGGTTCTTTTCCTGGTAGCTCCTTTCTCTTTTGTGTTCAACTTGAAAATACACATAAAAGGTACCTAAACATGGATGTAACAAGAATTACAATACATTATATACTGATAGTGCATATCAAAGGTGGATTTTTCCCTTCAAAAAGTTTGTTGGGCTTGAGAGCATTAAATTCCATAATCATTTAAGATGTGAACAGAGATTGGATGGCCCTACAGCATTATTTATTCGGCTTTGTTTGCTTTTGTGTTTGTTTTCTTTCTTTTGGAGCATATTGTGTAATGTAATTTTAACTTGTCTCTTTCTCTATTAAATATTTTCCTATCAAAAAGAAGGAAAAAAAATTGCAACATTATTTAGTGCAAAATTTGACATTGACAGCTTATATGCATAAATCCGGGTAAGCTGGCTTATCATTTTCTTTAGTTTAGATAAACATTTGAATGCAAATGCTCTTTGATAGATATCAGTATTCAGTATCACAATAGTCTGCATTAATCTTGCCGAATTGTAACCTTTATCCTGCTTAGTTTGACCTTCCTCATATGCAAAAGTACGTCCATATCATGTTTCTTTTCTTTGAATTATGACAAATAATATCTTGCATTTTCAGGTGGTGAGTTCTCCAAATTCTAACTCCAATATCAGAAATTCTCAAGCTTTTTCTCTCACCCAGAAGTTTCTGATGCAATCGTTTTATGAGAGATATACGAACTTACATGATTCAGATTTTGAAAATTTCATGTCTCAGAAAGTCACTTCTAGTTTGTGTGAAGTGCTTCCAGATAACCATAACTTTAGGCTGAGATTATCAGATCTAAAACGCAATCTTATTGGTGAAGGTTCACACAGATGTGTAGACACATCAATTAAATTCCAACCCCAACAGTCAAAATATTTGTCTGAAATTGTAAGCTACTCATGTGAATTCATAATTATTGAAAGACTGCCTTCTGGAGTTTTTGCTGATCTGTTTGAGTTACAACATCTTGTTCAGCGTGGTGGTAAGTACTCTCCACCTGCCTTTCAGATATAAAGAGAAAAAGAGGAAAAAAAAATAAATCTACTTTTTAATTTCAGGAATATTTCCATGTATCTTCAAGTCAATAAAACTTTTTATTGCAGTGTTCAGTGATATAGCTGTCTTTGGCGATACAAATCTGGAGCTGCCTTCGTTCTTGTCCAATCGATCTGCTGTTGAAATCCACTTAAATGTTGACCCAAATATATTACTAGAACCAACTGATATCAACATAGAGCTTCCATTGCATGCACGATATCAAGTAAGGCTATATGATTCAATTATCTTGATGTGATTTTCAGATAAACTTGCCCTTTATTTTAATCTAATGTTTTGCAAAGTAAGGAGGGTACATATCTTTTGAAGACACCATCACCATATGATAATTGCTTCAACTAGAGAACAAAATGATTCTATGCAACATATACCCTGTCTAATTACTTTTATTATCAATTAATGCTAATGTTGATAGTCCTATACTAGTATTATGATAGAAACTGGATCAGAGAAATGTGGAGAGAAAGAAAGAATGTCTTGGTCTATCCTTATTTTATAGCCTCCTAACAGAAACATAATTAACTCCTCCTAACTGAAACTTAACTAAGTATATGACTGGCCTACTCATTAATTTTTGCTGTCTATCATATTACTAAATGCTGTCCTTTAGCAGGTAGACTGCAATTCTGCCTCAATTCGTTTCTTTCTCTTTTATTTTGTAGCCTTTGAATGAAAGTGGCTACACGCCTGTTGAATTTGGTGCCCCGGATATGTTGGTGCACTGCAGCACACTGGAAAAGTTGGAAAATCGCAATTGCTTGTTCAAATTGGAAAAGGATGATGCTAATCTGTATGATACTCGTATTGTTTGGAGAATAGCTTCTGGAAAAATGGCGCATGCTGATCTCGTTTCTGCTGTTACATTTATTTCAGCCTTGTTATCAACTCTAGTAATTGTTGTTGTATCATTATATTATTCTAGTAGTAGACTGAACAAATATTTAAAACAATCGTAAAGGTTTTTTGAAATGCATTTTTTTTTTCTCGAGTGGCTGTAAACATTCGTATTTGTTAAATTTATCTGTGGAGTATTTTCTCAATAGTCAAAAGTTAAAAAAAAAATTGCTTGTCTTCCATAACACCAAATATAACAGCAGTTCTTTCTGAATTGCTCACAGGTGGAAAAAAAGGGTGTATACAAGGTGCCTTTTTTCAAAAAATATGTTTTCATACTTCTTTATTATGCTTTGCTAGTCTAAATTTTTAAATTTTCACTTTCGCATATAAATGTACAATCGATGTCTACTGTGTTGAAAGTAGTTAGTTGATTTGAATATTTAGTTAGAGTTAAAAGTGATTGTCACATAAGTGTAGGAAAAGTTTGCACATTCACTCAGGTACAATTTTATGCACGTGAAGATTGTGCAAGGCCGTATTTGTTTGATAAAATTCTTATATTTTCACACTTACCATAGTCCCATAACATATTTTTTATTGTTTGACCACAAATAAACTCTTTTAACGTCAAGCAATTCTCGTGAAATTAATTATTTTAACATAATTGTATTAAAATACAAACCAAACAGAAAGACAACGAATGTGCGGGAAATGTACTCCCAACTTTTGTCGAAATATTGCTGCATGAAAGCAAATAATCTGAAGATAACCTAGCCACTACGGCTGGAGGGAAATTGCACATAATAACAGTTACTACCAATTGGTTACAAGGTCGCTTTCGGAATGAACCTTACAGAAATTGCTAGGAAACTCGTGAGTAAAGATAGCGACATTGACGATAAAAGATAGCAATATTCACTGGAATTCGACATATAAGTTAAGCCAGTTTACTACATAATTTATTAATCTTCAATGATTCTACAGCGATTGGGCAGTCCTAGAAGGATCCATTTTACCAGCACAAACAAAGAAATCTCTACCAATTAGCAATTTTCCACCCCTCCTTATCACGTTTCTGGCTTTTAAAAGACATAGATGAACAACTTCGCTTAGCATAGAAGTATCATTACGAACAACTTGCAATTACCTATCTAAGTCATCATTTACATCCATTTTCATTTTTTCTTATATACAACATAAAATTCCAATTTTGGAAAAGAAAACAGATTATCATATATGAAGGTTTTGCTGAAGAGTCATCAGCACTGCCTGTTTTAGGATTTGCATTTACAAGTGAAGGAAAATCAAAGAATTAATATTTTTTTAATTAAAGAAACGAGAGAGCTTATACCATAATCCGTGACACATCCTCAAAACCCCAAACACTAACATAGAGAGAGAACAAAACACCCCACAACAAAATTATGGAAATTCCCACATCATGTACTGAATCAGATGCGAGTGAACCATGAGACCCGGGAAAACACCAATCAAGTGACATCATCAGCAAGGGAGATACTATTTGCTGCTCTGTATATATGCATTTGCTTCCATAATGGAATTGTGACAATCTTTGACTAAGCAGCAAGAACTATGATCACGATGAGAAGCACAATCCCAAATATCACCAAAAGCAAGCATGTCTTCAGAAATAAAAGAGAACACAAGATTAACAAAGGAAAATACACAGCTTTCAAAGGAAAAAAAAAATAAAAAAATAGGTGTGAACAAAGATCAAGATGGTAGAAATCTGTATTAGTTATTCCATCAAGCACTACTTCCCAGCCCCTTCCCTACCCACTCGTGCCATGATGAAATATGCCCTCTCCCAAAACAAAACAAACTAGTATGCAATATGCAAACTGATAAACCATAGATCACCTATACTGATTTATGCCAATCCCCATTTTTTGGCCCTTAAGCCATTCCTCTTAGAATATATTTACTCAGGAGATTCCGTATATAGAATAAATTTATGTCATGGAAACAGGTTTAGACTTAGACAGAGTAATATAATTGCAAAAGAAAAATTATGTTACCAAAGACGAATTTGATCTTTGGGTTTTTGAAGCTTTTACAAGTTGAGATTTAGCTTGTGCAGTTGCTGCATGAGAGTTTTCAATGTTGGAGCCAATATCATCTACAAAACGAAAATTTGAGGCATCAGATAACATAAACAAGTACAGAAAAATAAATTCATACTGCAATTTAAAGATACATGTAAAACAAAAGGGAAAGATGTAAGTTACCAATCATAGCTCCTTGCTCATGGACAAGCACAGCAAGATCTTTGAAAATCTCATTAACTTCACCAATTTGCTGCTGTATTTCTTGAATTCCTTGCTCCCTTTCCTCAATGATAGCCTCATTGAAAGCAATCTCATTATCTAAGAACAAAACCTCCTGCCTGCAGCAAGAATAATGCAAGATGGTGAATTTGAAAACTAGACTTTTCTCATAACACAAATTGATAAAATGAAAGCTCAGTTGTTCATCTAATTTAGTGACACATGAGAATCTTGCCATTTATAATGCCACCACCTACATTGCACCACAGAATAATATAGAAGATAAAAACAGAGAGGGGGGGAGCGAGAGGGAGAGATAGAGAGCTTTTGGTATCAATTCTTTTGACAGCAAAATAGTACTTTGCAGATGACCGTGCAAGGGCAGAGGTACTAAATGTAGCAGGTTAAATTGGAAATAGCCCTTTCTGATAAATAATTCATGTTCACTTTTCCATCAAATTTAACAACATAGAGAGGGTTGATTCACATTGCCAACTCCTTTGAACCACCAAAAAGAAAAAAGAAATTAATTCTTTTTCAGCCTAACATAAGTTTTCAAATGATTAATACTGATAATTGACAAATGATAAAATTACATTTTGAAGTGTTGCTTGTTTCACCATATATCAATTTTATATAATATAGCAAATTTAATATCGGGGCAGAATCTCTAATTGAAAACAATGCAATGATCTCATGAAAATATGTCTGGAAATCATTGATTTACTACCAATAGGATATGAGAAATCACCTCCTTGATTCCACAAGTAGGGCTCGCTGTTCTGGAGTCTTATCAGAACCAACATCTACTTCACTAGCTGTATAGCTGCAAGCCAGAAAGAAAAGCCCATGTCGTAATTGTTGTATGCAATAGTGATCAGAATTAATACCAACAATAAATCACTGAAAATGATTAAAGAAGCACAATTGATCACCAAAAAGCCAATTACAAACGAAGTATTGTAAAACTAACCTACTCTTCATTATTCAGAAACAGTTCACATTCTACATAAACCACACATTCAAAAACAAAGGAGGAGCACAGTCGTGCCCCTAAAAGTTTAGAGACTAATAATAATAGATAAAGCACCTTGAAGGAAGGACTGCTTGTGAAACAAAAGGAGTGTAAGCTGTTTCCCTTTCAGCTGCAAGACGTTGTGCCTTCTGAAACTCTTTCAACACTGCTTGAAAATCCTTTGCAAGTTTAGCATCTGCTATCTTCTTGCTTGCCTGAAAAAAGTAAGAAATTGTTTTGAGGCAAAAGATATTGAAGTCATGGCACCCTAAAATACAATATACAACTACAACAAACCTTTGCAGTATTCATTAAAAATTGAAGCTAAATAGTCAGAGACTGAGACCATATAAGCAAACTGATTTGCACATTCAGATGTGGTACAATGCAAGATAAAGGCCCAAACTTACATTGACTTCAGCATGGTGATCAATGTCACTAGCTTGCTTAAGTTTAACTGATGTATCCTTCACCAATTGCCCAATATGCAGTCTTGTCTTGTGTCTGCATGTTTAAAAAATTAATATACAAGTTCACAACACCCCTTGGCTTTGTTAATTATCTACTTTTAAATCATGGCCTGGCGTAAGTTTCATTTATAATAGTATAACTATTCAAAACATTAAGAGTACGGGGAAAATCACTGTATGCTCTATTACACAGCATGTCCTGTTTCTGATATGAAAAATTCAGATATCACTACTATATCTTTATCCCGATTAAAAACACAAGCAGAGGAAACAGGGGCTCAATCAAAGTATAAGAAACAGAAATTTTGATTACTTTTCCAGTATAAATAAATAAAATAAAATTCCCAAGCAAGTTAACATGCATCTCCCAAAAAATAAACAAATAAATAAAATAAAAAGTCCTTTGCAATTCAATAGAGAAAAAAACACGAAAATTATAACAAGAAAACCCATCGTTTAAATTCTTCACGATTTCGAGCATCGACAGCCTCTTTACGAAAACGATCGCCCTTGAATTTTCATAATTCGAAGGGCAATTCAGCTGAATCAAGAGATAGCGCCGAAATTCCGCAACGGAATTTTAATTAATAAGAGAAAAAAGCTTTTATTTAACTCTGCGTAGGAAAAATAAAAAAAAAGAAAATATTGTTTTCAATTGAATGAATAGGATCGAAATTGTGACGAATAAAAGGAACTAACAGCTTTTCGCGGAGCTCAGGGGTATCTTTGGGGGTTCCGAGAGTGTTGACGAGTCTCTGAAAGGTGGATACGGCGGTGTTGATCTGGAATATTCCGGCGGCCACGGCTTGCGTGGGGTCTTGCTTCCCATTGATCAAGCCGCGCCTGGAACCGAAGGGCTGGCCAGCTTCGATGTCCTGAAAACTCATGATTCTTCTTCTTGCGATTTCACTTTCTCGAGAAAATCGGGTAGAATTTTCCTGAGAAAGTTGAAAGGCCGGGATCTGGGAAGAGAATAGAAGAGAAGAAAAGACCAACCGGAATATGGGGAATTAGGGCAAGGCAAGAAAAAGAGAAGGGAAGATTGGGATTCGGTGAGGTAGTTTCTTCCCTGGGTCTCTGCTATTGCTTCTAAATTCTAATTTCCTACGTTGACGTTGGGGACACGTGGCAGATTTGAATAGGGTCACAATCAAAATTTTATTTTAACATGAAATATGAATATGAATACGAATGAATGAATATTTTTATATAAAAAATTTAGTGGAAGAAAGGTTGCTCTTATTTTAAGGTAAGAAGAGTTGTTATAATTAAAATAGTATATAGAAAATTTTAATTTATTTTATCATAAAATAATAAGAGTTGTTTTAACCTTTGTTATATGTAATTTTGTTTTGTTTGATTCATTCATTAATATTATTTTAATATTTATATGAATGTAAATTTTATCATATTCTTTTTATATATTATCTTTCTAATATTTATTTTATAAAATAAATAATAAATAATTTTTTTCACTTTTAAAATAATAAATATATATTCGTATTTAATATTTATTTTTTAAAAAATAAAACACAACATATTCTGATAAGTTAATAATTAGTAATTAATGGATCTGTCAGTTTAATTTAAAATTGAAACTTAGAAAGACCTCATGATATATGGAAACACAAGTTTTATTTCAGTTTAGTCTGCCTCTAAAGGGCAAGAGTTCCTTCTTATATAAAGGATAAAAAACATATATAATTATTACATGACAAAAGTTTGGATAAGATTCTAACCTTTTATAAAAAGACTTTAAACAACTAACAAAACATAAAGTTTTTGGTACACATGAGTCACACTAAAAACATAATATATAAAGATGCTTTGTTACAAAAAGTGGCTTTATCAAAGATTCTTTAGTCCTTGAAAATAGTTTCATGACTAGGACAAAGATTTGGATCGTCATTAGTATCCCATCCTTCTTGATCCATTATTAAGTAATAAGGATCTTGAGAATCCATTACTGTATCAGTTGGTGATGATTCAACTTCATCACGTATAATGACATGTCCTTCTCTTTCTCAATTTCCAAAAGCAAGACTAGAAGAGACAAAAGGTGGAACCACTTGTTGAAACTTATTCCATATGTTATCATCATGAGGATTTGGAGGGCAAATGATGTCCATAGGTTTTAGACTTGATCAAGTGGAATTTACTTTGATCATTTCTTCCTGAGTTCCATTAATTACATGAAGATAGGTAATTAAATCTACCTAGTGAAAATGTGATCTTTCTAGTTCAAATACATCCTTTATACTTCCATATGTATTCCAAAATCTAACTTAATTCTAGGTATAAAGGAACTTAGTAGTTAGATGTCCAAAGTAAGGTCTATGAATGATCACAACTGTAACATTTCTTGGATATTCTGATGGTGGTAAATTGATCTCTTTCCAAATGGATAGTCTTTCCATTTTTGATTGGATGTCTTTTCCAAATTGGAATAGGTTGAAACCAGGTTAATAATTTCCATAAAAGAGATGACTCATTTTGAGGATTATTAAGAAACTCAAACATTTTGAAGGTGGAAAAAACTATGGGATAATGGAACACGAGAGCAACACACCATAAGTGTGACGCCTAAAAATAGTAGGATTTTTTTTCTTTTGCACGAACATAAGCTTTCTCTTCATAGAGAGTTTCAATCACACAATTAATATTCCGTAATTCCATAGACAATCATCATTTCACTTCCCAATTTCAACCACACAGTGGGATAAAGATAAACATAACTCATGACATAAAGGTACCTCAAGGTGTTTAAACATCAGTTTAGCAGAAATAGTAAAATGTTCAGATAATGTCGAGAGCAACAAACATTAATCCAATACATCAAACAGAATAGCAACATAAGTAAACCAAACGCCCTAAGAGCAGTCCCTACTAGGACAAAAACAACAACAAACATCACTCATAAGGTGAATAATCCTCAATGGGATCAGACTCCTCAGAAGATGTCGGGGAAGCAGAGCTAGAAGAGGCAGCGTCCTCAGTGTCCTCTTCAATCCATCCAGTAGTATGAGATGGCAAATGGTCGGTAGTGAAGGGCGAATAGGTGTTTGGGTAGGTAGGGAGCATGTGGGGTAGTACATCATCATTCTTCACTGAGGGTTCTGCCATATGAACATCTCTCTTAGTGGCCACAGGGGGTGGAGTAGGATCCTCAGTAGGGAATGGTACAGGTGCAGGTACTGGTCTAGAACTGGGAGTGCGGGGATCAACAGACATGGGAGAAGGAGTAGCTGCAAGGGAAGGATAAGGTAGGTGAGAATCTCCAGGTGGGGTAGAGAAAACAAGCTCGATGGGGGTGTCAACCATAAAGTGGGTGGTCCATGAGTGTCCGACATCCTGTCCATGAATCACTCGTGCCATTCCATGGAAGATGCTTTGCTGTGCTGCCACGTCGAACACCCAAACGTCCTCCTCAGATGGTAGGATCCATACCTTCACTCGGAAGCTGGTCATCTGTATAAGGCATATACAAAAGTACAACAACACACACAAACAGGGGTGAGTTCTCCAAACACAAACAAACACCCAATAGTCGTACCCCAAGGAAGGTGGCTTTTCACACCATCACCCAAACCACATCATTATCAAGTCTCAAAACAAACATCGATACAATATAAGTCAGTTCATACTTCCCATAGAAAATTCCTAGGTTCATCAAACTAATAATGCACATGATGCATGAATGCAAGTTTCTTTTCTCGCTATCCATCCCTCAAATTTTCATTTTAATGCATTTGGTATGCATGGGGATCCCTTACTCTACTGCCAGCGACTTGCCCAGCATTTAGTGTAGAGTTAACAATTTCATATCCAAGTCGTGTGGCGATCGGAGGACTCCATTCCCTACATCACAATTGCACAGAAAAGAATTTGTATCATTTATTCAAAAACACTCAAATTGGTGCTGGCCCCAAACTGGGTCTCTTCGGGAATGGACCTCAACGACCCTAGGATGTGGAGTTCTTGTCGGGTTTGGCTAAGGCTTGCAAGTAGGGTCACGACCCGGCCACAGAGAGCTCTACTGCGCCATCTAGGTCGATTGTTCCCCCTTTCACCAGCCCCGTAGGTCTACTCGGGACCGAACCTCCAATACCTACAGCTGTGCCTCTGTTATGCCATCAAGTCGTTCCAAAGAAATGTTATGATGCATGGAGCATGATTTTCTTTTCTCTCCCCAATGTTTTCTCAATCTTGGATCACAAGGAATTCAAGCACAGAATCAAAGCCCTCACAAGGCCTGCTCAATCATTATTCACTTTCTCATCCAGCATAAATTTGTTAAACAACAAGGTTTAGGAATTACATACGAGTTTCCAATCCCATCAATACACATCCACTACTTCTCAACACATAAATTCAGTAATTTTGACATAACCCACTCAGATTTTCCTCACCCAATTCTATTATAATAATTTACTATATTACCATTGCTCATTTTATCATTTCCCTCGCTATTAACTATACTACTTCCTACGTAAATATGAATTGTTTCCACTTTCCTCTTTCTCTCTAGTTTTTCCATTTGGTTATTTTATAATTACTTATATTGATTCCCGATTACCTATTTAATTCAAGGTTACTTAGTTTAGTTCTAGCTCTCTTTAGGTTTATTAATATTAAGTCCTCACGCGATGGGTTCTATTAAGTAGCTAATAGTGAGATCTTTCCAAGAATGACTTTTATCAATTAACTACTATGTCCAGACCTTTAATTACCATCTTCATACCTTTAATTACTATCTTTTTAGTTTGGTAAACTTTCCATCAAAAAGGGCTGCACTTGATTTTTTTTTTTTCCTTTTTACTCCTTATATAATGGAATGAACATGATGCATGATTCATCTTAATACTCACGAATCCAGGTGCAAACAGCAAACACACCCTATCATTATACAATCCTTATCACCCATAATTTATCAAAATTAACACAATTTCAAGCACAACTTTTAGGATTCCTTATCATCAAAACCGAGAGTGAATAGTTTTCACTTTCTTGTCCACCACAAATTCCCAAAGCACCACATGCATGAAACTTTTAAACCAAGTAGAAACATACATCACAATCAATTCAATCATCCATCATCCAAACTAGCAAGCAACCATTTTCATGCAATCACACAAAGTGTAGCACGGTTTTCAATTTCTAAAGTGTGGTTCAATATGCTAGCTAGTCTTTTTCATGAAAGGTCAAATCTATCCAGCCTTTCCACTAGATTTCTGTCAAGTTAAAAATAGGTAACACAAAGGAAATTAACATGCAATGACATAGTTTCATCGTCCAAGAACAGGGGCAACATTTCCAAGTGACATTCAAACTTCCAAGGGAAAACCGAAACACTTAGGGGCTGAAATCAACATGCAATGGCTTCCATTTCACATGCAATCCAAGGTTTATTGATTACAAGAGTAGATCGACATTTTAAACAAAGAATCCAGCCAAACAAAAGTGAAACCGAGGCATGCACAAAGGGATCCAAAGCATTTCATGGTTAAAATTCAATATGCAAGTGAAAGGATATGTCAATCAAGTTCACGGTTCATGGTTTCAAGGAAGAAATATCATTAATTCAAAGATTTCTCCAAGGAGACATAGAGATCGAAACATGCACAAGGGAAAAATCCACATCCACGCATCAAAGTTTCAAGCTTTTAAGGAACAAAGTTGATTAAAAGTGGAATCAAGCTCTTTAGGATGTAACCGAGGCATGCAAACAAGAAATCCACACACTTCTTGAACAAAATTTAACATGCAAGTTCAGATTTGAAGTTCTTCAAACATGCAGTCCAATATACACTATTTTTCAAAGGGAAAATGAGCAAAAACAGCCAAGAAATGGACATGCAAACACATCAATGGTGAGAACTCCCCCTTTCCTTGAATGTGTCAAAAATTTGTGAGCAAAAGGAGTTGATCTAGGCTGGTTCTTCAAAAGAAAGGTGCTGGACCGAGAGGATGAGTTTCAAATTTCAATCTTTCTCCTCTTGGCTAGGTTGTCTTCCTCGGTTCTTTGAAGAGAAAAGGGGAAAAGCTTCAAAATGGTTAAGATCAAAGTGAGAAA